TATGAAGACCGAAGTCAGCTAAAGGGCTAATGATAGCTATCAAAACGCCTGCCATTTGAAACATATAGATACCTCTCAAACTTTGGACAATTTCTCCCTCCTCCAGCGAGTGTATTTAATGAAGTATGAATTTGTCAAAAAAAGGAATGAAAGGACTATGCACAAATCCGTACAAAAATATATATATATACTTCTTCTTTCTGAACATTTATACATGCAAGGGAAATGGAACGAGGAATTGACGAAATTTACACAATTTGAGATCCGCAGGATCACAAGAGAGAAGTGCGTAGGAAAACCAATGATAATGCACAAGAAATTTGACATTGACGGCAAATCAATCACTCAAGAGAGACGAGAGGGCCTCGAAGAACTTCAGCATATCTTGACGATGTAATTCAACACCTAAAAATCACCAGTTTATTACTAAATAAAAATAAACGTGCAATATGCCAGGATAATAGCAGGTTTCTGAGGTGCATCTACTAAACCCCATCCAACGCTGTTGCAATAAGTAATGAGTATTCATGAAACTGAGCAATGCTACGTATCAAAAGAAAAGATGCCTAGTTTTAAAACACGCTTTTGTGTTTCCGTCTTGTCAACTAGGTGATCGGATTTCAAAATAAATGTTGGGAGACTTAATGGAATATTTGACGCTTTGAACGGTACTCCCGTGAGCGGGATGATTGATTACTATTTATCCCCGTATCGTGTTTGAGAACAAAGACTCTTAAGGACCTAATACTGTCTCAATAGGCTGCTAAATTATTACAACAGCAGCTTATTTCCTACCAACAACAAATTGGCATGATATTAAACTCAAGAGGGAATTTGTAAAGGTCACCAACAAGGACAATAAAGGCCATTTGAAAAGTGAATAAGAGGTAGATTCAACCAAAAAAATTATACCTGAAGCCAAATGGGAATTTATTAAAAGCCATAAATTATTCAACTCAACAATCATTTTTGATCGTTTCAATTTTTAATTCAATAAAAGAGTCTAAGCAGGTATAGCTGGAGGGATGGGGGAGGTGGTGGTGACAAGAAAAGCTAAATGAAATAGATCAAATTGAGCTCATCTGGGTTGTTGGTTTCAGTATAGAATGCATTAATCTCACCATTAGCCTTTTCGAGGAGGTTATAATGAAGAGCACATTGGTGAAAATTTTCAAGGCCCTCAATGGCAATAAGATTAAAAGGTAATCAAAAACGTCTTTAAAAACTTACTTCAACCTCATATATGCTCCGAATATCAACTAATATCTATGCAAATACCATGGAAGGCTGTTCAGAAAGTAAATTCCTTCATCTCCTTTAAAAATAGTATCAACCACTTAAAAAGCACCTTTGGCAGCCTATTTGCAGAAGTATTCGCCTATTTGGCATATTTTTTGTGAGAAATAGCGGGTCTCATTAGGAGCTATTAGGTGGGCAACTAAGTCATTGCCGATTTCAAATAAGAAGGCAAATTCGGAATTTTTGTTTAAAAATATAACTTTATTCAATTCGATATTGGCCGTTCTTGTCGATGACCTTTTCCATCGCTCTGGCAGAGTAAAAATTCCCCGTTCGTAAAATGTCTGGTTTTTGCTGTTAAAAAACTGAATTAGGTGTGATCCGACATCATCCACGTTGTTAAAAATTTTACCATTTAAAGAGTTTTGCATGGAACGAAACAAATGGTAATCCGAAGGCGCAAGGTCAGGGCTATATGGTGGGTGTGACAAAACATCCCAACCCAGTTCCAATAATTTTTGCCGAGTAACCAAAGATGTGTGGGGCCTTGCGTTATCATGATGGAAAACAACACCCTTCCCATTTCATAATGCCGGCCGCTTATCTTCAATTGCATCCTTCAGTTTTTCGAGTTATTCAACATACACATTTGAATTTATCGTTTGGTTCTGCAGCATGAGTTCAAAATACAAAATTCCTTTGTGATCCCCCCACCAGACTGACAGCATAATCTTTTTTTGGTGAATCTCTGCTTTTCATACTTGCTTCACCCATGATCTCTTGCGAGTAACCTTGTTATAAACTATCCACTTTTCGTCGCCAGTAACTGTTTAGGTTCTTCAGAAATGGATCATTCTCATTGCGTTTCAGTAGCGGCGAATCACAGATGCTAATCCGTTGCGTCAAATGAATTTCCTTTAACTGGTGAGGGATCCATAAATCAAGTTTCTTCACATAACCAAGGGTTTTTAATTTTTTTTTCAATGCATGTATGCGACACATTGAGCTTCTCTGCAATATCTCGTGTTGTACTGTGACGATTTGAATAGATAATGGCCTTGATATGGGTTTCATCCACTTCGACTGGGCGGCCAGATCGTTGTGAATATTTCAGTGAAAAATCACCTGAACGAAATCTTTCAAACCAATTTCGACACTGCCTTTCTTTTAAGGCTTCATCTCCATATACGGCACATAACTTCTTTTGTGCTTGCGATGCGTTCTTGCCTTTTCGGAAGTAATACAATAAAATGTGTCGGAAGTGCACGTCCTGTTCTTTCATTTTTAAATTGGGATAAAAACAAAACTAAAGAACTAAACAAAAAAAATTTTTTACTAATTAACCTAGAAGCCCATACAGTAAGAAAAAAATACAGGTTAGATGCTCTGGCCACGTTAACAAAACAAAGGAAAGTACAGAGTGAATCTGTCAACAAAAACGACAATGACTTAGTTGCCCACCCAATAATACTTTGGTGGCAAAGTGCGTTTAAAGGAAAAAATGACATTCCAAACTCATTAAGAGAAATGTTAACGGTACCCGATTTTAGTCGTGTGGAGATACTTTTAAACCACTTTGACGACCTCAAATTGCACAAACCCCAGCTTATTAACTAAAATTAGCAAGTACTCGTGGTCATTCCCATCACAAGATGTGTACCGATCCGGGGTGTGCGATAGACTTACTCATACGGCAAAAAAGTCTATTAACTGGCAGTTGACTTCTGACTTCAAACTACCATGATCCCATTGTATGTCATATTCGACCTCTTCCACAGTACTCACCTCACATTTTTTCTACCCTCGTCTTTGAAACACTCTTCTGTTCCCCCCCCCTTCTCTTGACTTCTTTCACTTTGACGCTCCTCCCCTCTGTGAAGCCTAAAGTCAACTAAAGGACTAATGATAACTATCAAGACCCCTGCCATTTGATATAAATAAATGTGTACCGATCCCGATTCAACTAAAATGAAATTGTTTGCTAAGCTAAAATCTTTCCCCCAATTCCCACTCCTTCCTAACAACAAATAATAAATTTAACATGCATACTGACTCCGTTCTCCCATCGTATTAATTCAGACGCAAATTAACATAACTGCAAATATGCAAGATGGAGGTCTGTGTTAGGCAACATCATTCTACTTAATTTAGCTTTTATTATAGGTTTAATTGGGAATGTGGGTGGAAAAAGTATCCAATCAAAGTAGCACATAATTTCATTAGGCAAAAACTCGCCGGAGACAATTCGATTAATGCCTACTTTGGTTATAAGCAAAAAAAGGGAACTCAATAAATTCAACATGAATCATTTATCAGTAAAAGCAAGAGAAAGCGTGATCATAGAACTAGGCATACCAAAATTTCGGATTGAACCAAGTTGTGTAAACTGTATGGAAGAACAAATTACTAAACTACAACAAGTATATTTGAGATGAGTAAGGTAACCGCAACCGATTAACCTATGTGTTTTGAACACTACACGATAGACATTCAGGTATAGACTTGTAGAGGGTAAACCAACACAGACTTTGTGCTAGAAGATCTACTGAGCAGGCGATCCAAGCTGTAAAAAAAACATAATCCAAGTAGGCATTGATCTTTGGTGAGGAAAAGTTCTCAACGTTTTAAATTAGGGAAAGCTTTTAGTTCGCTTCCAAAACGTGCAATTTTATATAGGCTTCGAGAAATTAACCCACCCTGGAATTTAACCAATTGTATTCAAAAATTCCTTAAAATTCCGAAAGACAACGACAGATTCGGTGAGAATATGCACTGATTACGTCGGCTAATTAAGAGGATATAAGAACTCTAATACCAACTAAAAAATCTCCATATTGTTTTTCTCTCTTCACGATGGGTGCCGAAGAGAGCTTTACTAAATGAGCTTGGGAATTAATAATCATACGGATTATTATGAAGTGTATTTCAGTTTATGTCAGATAAAGCATATGCTATCTGTGACGAATAGAAAATTTGAAAAGTGTCAACCAGGAATTGGGTGGTTGTTGAAACCCTGAATGTGCTACTAGTCTACGTCTTATCACTCCACCAATTTAATAAGCTGAACAGCAAATTTAAAGCCCTAAAACTACCTTTGACAAATACGTGATAGAAAATCCCTCTGGGAACGTTGGGGAGCAAGTGGTAGAGTGGAATTGAGGCACGAGAATCCCCCAATATTCACTGTAATAAACTATTTTGCTAACTATAGAGAAGTCGCCACAGTAAACTGGGTGGTACGCGGAAGCGATGCAGGCAAATATAAAAAAAATAAAGCATTTTTCTCTTTCCTTTTTCAAACATTCTCACATGATACATCTGCGTGCTACGGCATTGGATAGAAATATTTTTAACAGTTGAATTTGCGATGGGCCATTAATAAACAAATCGTTGGCGAAATTCAAAGTGACCAAATAAGTTAAAAATTCATTCCACGTAGGCAACAAAAAAGAGCGATGACGATAATAAATTGGAAAAAATGTTCAATTTCACGCATATTATCTGATGAACCGAGTTATGATCTTACATTTAATAATGAAGCTCTCACTGAAACACTAAGGATAGCGAACCGAAAGAGGAGAGTAGATCAAGAGATTACCGGTGAATAATAAGGCAGATTTCCCAGGCTATTACCTTTTCTCCAGCTTTACGACTCTCATTAACACGAGGAAGGAGGACAAAGATGATGGTGGATTAATTACATTAGAAACTGATAGAGAGAATGATGATCTAGTCTAATGAACAGGAAAGTAAAAGGCTGACTATGGCTCATTGTGAACTAGAGGGAGGAAAAAATTATAAGATAACATTCAACAAATAAACGGCTCAAAGCTGGAAAAAAGGAGATCTCACGATAATAGAATAAAGGAAACAGACAATGGAACAGTAGATAAATCACAAGGTAGGTACATGCTAGAGAAGTAGCGCCTGCCATCTAGAGAGCCCAACTCCGGATTCTGCTAAATGCAAAAATTCTAAATCCAGTTCCGAGAGGAAATAGGTAGATAGGTATAAACACCATACGAAGTTTGAACTGTTCCACTTGGCATATCTTCAATATAATTATTTCTCTTTTCCGGGGTGTGTGATACACTTACCTCTACGTAGCGCACCTTGAACAACGTATACCCATATTCTATTGCAGTTGGCTTCTCACTTCAAACTACCATCACCCCACTGTGTATCATATTCGACCACTTCCACAGTACTCATCTTACCTTTTCTCTGCTTTTGTGTCCGTCTGAGTCTTTCATATCTGCGAATCATTATTCCTCCCCCCCCCTCTCGACATTTTACCACTTTGATGTTCCTCCACCTCTCCTTGAAGCCCGAAGTCAGCTAATGGGCTAGTGATAACTATCAAAACGTCTGCCATTTGAAATAAATAAATTTCTCTTTCTTTAAAAAATTTGAAATGTCCGAGATAGGATTAAATCGATAAAAAAACAGAGAAAATTGGACATAGTGAAGATGTGGGGAACTTGATAAGGTAAACGGGAAGTTTTACGACAAAGTATTTAAAGCGGATTAATATCAAAATAGAACGTATTGATACAAATATCGACAGCAGAAAATGATAACTGAAATATACTCATTCCATGTCCAACCGAAAATGAATAGTTTGAGCATTTGAAGGCTTAACTACCTATGAAAAGTAAATACTGCACTTATGTCTTAGTTTGAATTAGTAGTGCTTTCTCCCACCATACCCCCCCCCCTCTCTTCTAATTAGTACCTCGATATTTCCGAAAAGTTTACTGCTCTGCAGTGGGCATGCTAATAATTGAGTAACTCAAGTTGAAGTCCAAAGAGGGGTTAGAAGCTTATGATTCAAAATAATTCAATAATTTCAGTAAAAATTAAATAAATGCTGATAAAAGGCGTCGTACCGATTAGTATTACAACAACACCGCTAAATAACCAATTGCAAAGAAAATGTCTGATAAATAACCTGGCTTATTTTAAACCAAAATCTCCCTTCAAAAGAGGACTTGTTGTTTGCCCTCGCGTAATTTATAACCAAAATATCCTTCACATAAATTTTTTTTCAGAAATAACAGAGCTAGTTTTGAAAGCATCGATCTCTTTATACGACGCTACAATGAAGAGAGAGATCGAACAAATGAGAGCTTGATAGAGGGATAATTAGAAGGGTAGAGAACAGAAATTCTGGGTGATTTACTCCTTTAGACTTGATCATATTTGAGGTATGAGCAACAAAATTAGAGGCAAGGTTTGAGTCTGAAATAAAAACGACTTACAATTCGTATCAAAGTGCTTGAGTTTTGCTCGAGCACCACTGCTTCTCACCGCTGCCGCGAAAGCCTGACCAAACAAACTAGAAGACGCAAAAATGGGAAAAATTCGAGTACGGTTCATAATCTGAATCGAATGTTTCTTTTTCCTCGACACTTACTTTCTGTCATCTTCACCCTGCAATGGAGGTATTCCCACAAGGAAAATGTGGTTTTCTTCCGTGATACTGTCCAAACAGAGAACCAAGGGCATTTTCTTCACAACTCGTTTTCGTCCCTATAGAGACAAAGATAGCCGATTTACTTATATGATTTAAGTAGAAAGGGGTTCTGAATAGATGTGAAATAGTAACCATCTTAGGACAAAACGCCGCTTTCATTGTGAGAAGATATCTGGCGGTTAGAAGAGCGAATTGGGGATTTCTGAAGGCAAGAGACTGTAGAGAACTCTAAAAATAAAAGAATTTGGTCTGTAAAATGAACAAAAACGAGAATGAAATAGAGAGAAATCTGAGATTCACCCTGGCTATATAGACATAGAGGAAGGGTCCGAATCCGACTACCTCTTCAGCGTCGTGAAGAGCTCGAACCTGTTGAATCAGTAAACGCAACTGGGTCTGAATATCACTCATCCACTTTTCCAGTGATTCTGTGGTCCAGTTTCTACGCAAACAAATGAAATAAGGAAGACATAGAAGCAAAAGGAATAATCCCCAATTATCATGACACTGCATATCCTTTTATTAATGCAATAGACCATAAAGTACCGTATATCTATCCAGTGAGTGCTCTAATGAATTCTTCAATACTTTGGGAAGTCATGAATTTCTTATACGACGTAATCACCAATTATATAACTCTAAATGGGGAGCTAAAAATATTATTCCCAAAAAGAAGCAAAGCCCACTAACAATACCGGTAGCAGGATCTATTGAGCTGAAGTACAGCGTGCTATTCACGATCTTAGATTCGGAACCGCGTTAGGATTATGATTAAATCGATTTCCCTCGAGGTTGTTCACCAATTTAATTCACTTATCAAATCCTAGGCACCGCAGTCATTGGTATTAAATTAAGAAGAAAAATAACTCAAAATGCAAGAAAGCTGAGCAATTGCATTTAAATGTGACACACACGCACACACACAAACTATCGCCTAACTTTCAATTGCAGTTATAAACTAATGAGACTTAAAAAGCTATGTTCACCGAAAAAATACAGGACTTACTCATTTCTGCTCCAATTAGTCTTCATTAGCACCGCTTAAAAAATGAACTCACCACATCTAAGAAATGACAACCTCCGATAAAGTACAAGTAGAAAGTGAAATGTGTAACCCCGACTAAGATGTGTTTCGCAGCACAAACGAGCACTCAATTAGTAAACACTGCTTTCCTTTATACACTTTCGACTTCCAAATACCACATATTTGTCGTCTAAAAACGTACCTTAAAAAATCACTTACTATAACGATTGTGATGAAGATAATTGAATC